ACTACGTGATGCAGGACCACCATTCATACCAGAACCAGGTGCTCCACCATCTCTTATATACCAACTATAATTATTTTCTTTTTAACAGATATGGTGGTTATAATAATAATTATGGCGGTGGTGGTGGATATGGTGGATCAGGAAGTCGTGGAGGTGGTGGATCTTATGGTCAATGGTATGGAAGAGATGGTGGAGCACCTGGTTCTGGTATGAATGGTGGTCCTGCATCAAGTAGTCGATTAGGTGGCGGTGGTGGATATCGTCATTCGCCTGTACGTGAAGAATATAATGGGAGAGATCATCATTACCATTATCATCATCACCATCATCCGGGTAATCCTCCTCATCCTCCTCCTCCCCCACCAATGTATGGTGGACGTGGTGGTAATGCTACACGAGGAGCACCGCTAAGATCTTATTCAAATTCATTAAATACCGGGTCGACTGGTGCTATATACACTAGTCATTCGGTTCGCGGACAACATGATTATCATCCTTATCCTCGATAATTTTTTTATTAATTTATTAATTAATTAATGATTTAAATGCTAAAATATTATATTGACTTTTTTTTTGTTACTTTTTAGTCCTCCTTCTTTTATTAGATAGGTTGTTTTATTTATAATATTATTATTAATATAAATATTAATTTGCTTTATTTTTAATACTCGCTGTGAGAAAAAAATTTTATTAATTACAATTTGAGATTAACTATTAAAAAAAATTAGTATGCTTTTGATAATTGAATTAAAAATTAATTACTATATACTATTATTTATTTCTTGTTATAATTAAACTTTAACTTAGACTTTTTCACACATATATAATATAGATTATAATTTATTTTATTTTTAATTTTTAATTTTAAACTTTAATAAAGCAAATAAAATGAAACAAAGATTTTTTCCACAAAAAAATCGAAATAATTATCAACGAAACAATAATAATCAAAGAAACAGGACAACTAGAACTTTTATAAATAATACTAATAATTCTTATTCCAATAATAAATACAACAATTTCAAAAGAGATTGTAACAATAGTAATGATAAAAATATTATTATTACATCATCGTCATCGTTCTCTTTATTCAAAAAATTATTCAAATCAAATCGATCCTGATTTATCGTTACTTTCTATCTCTTTTATTTCTACAGTTACTTCTGCTTCAACTTCTTCTACCGTGGCTAATGATGCTTGCAACAATAATAATTCATTCTCTCAATATCCTGTATATTTATCATTTCATTATTATAATAACGTGTTATTTTTTTTTTTTTAATACATCTATTTACCATTTTTTTATTTTTCTTTAGCCGTTTAGTAATGCGTTATCACTGCTAAATAATAATAGTGGTAACGGAAATAGCAATTATGGTAATGACCAGACGCAGTTGCGATCAAATCAAAATACTAATATTAATGCGCAATCATCGTCATCAACGAAAAATAATGGATGTTATTATAATAACAACAACGACAACCATTACGATCATACTGATTATAATAATGATTATAGTGGTTGTGATTATAATAATCTTAATGATGATCACGGCGATGTTAATAATTACGATAATTTGCCAAACTATCCTTATAACAATAATAATAACAACAACTATAGTAATGACAATTACATGCAAAATTATCAGTATCAAGACCCAATGATTATTAGTGATAATAATAATAATAATAATAATAATAATAATAATAATAGTGTCAATGGAAATGCTAGCAAAAATGTCCAAAACTTTGATGAACAACTATATAAAGTTACCGAA